TTGGCTGGTCCCCGCCTCTAAGCGCAAGCTCAAAGAGGCAGGTAATGGGAATACGCCATTAATAAAATATGAAATCTGATTGGTCGGGACATAGATTCTTCTAATTGGCTATTCAATAGTACTGTAAAGGGATTAATTATTCACTGGGTTTTAATTTTGCTTATTTCGCTGACTGGGAAATGCGCTAAATTAAAACCCAGTGAATATGTAAAATTTTGCATAGAAAACATTATCTAAATGAAAAAAAACGTGAATTTAAAACCCACTGAATATGCCTGAAATGGTAAATCAGCGAAATTTAAACCCAGTGAAAATTAGTCATTTTACAGTACTTCCGGGGCACTTGTTCAAACTTGGCGGCAAATTTCAATCTGATGTTGTTGACGAAAATTGCCCTATCAAAGAGGAATATTTGCCAAAAAGGAGGCACTCCATGGTCTGACTCAGCAGAATCTATACCTTTCGCGACTTCATTGGGGAGCCCGATGTACAGTCCCTCATTTTAAGAGTGCAAAATAAAGTAATAATTTAATAAATAAAGTAATAAATACTCCCACGTATCAGCAGTGTGGTACTATGTAGTACTTTTTTTTTAATGTTACATGTACAGCCAAAACAAAGTCTGCTTGGACGTTCAGTTGCGAGACATGACAAAATAAACGCAGCGAGTGCTACATTTCGAAAATAAAAATACAAAATAAACGCGCCGGCCACGCACGTTGGAAATAAATAGAACGCGTTGTGAAACAGTCTCACCAGCCACTCGCGCAATATAATTATGCTATTTTAAAACGCATTGTGCATGTGGGAAATCGATGAGTGAACTCGAGCAAAATTATGCTAGTGCGAGAATTTGCTATATACTCGGCGGAGTACTCGCTAAAACATCGAGAAAATTTGCCATTTCAAAGGGCACCCCTTACAAATAATTTTGTGAACATGACGTGCAAACAAGGATATAGCAAATTATCTTTTTTTCTGTAATATTCGTGTGTAATCAGTAATTATAAAAATAATTTATGGGTGCAATGAATTATTCTTAATATAAATTTCTGAATTATCTTGTCAAAATCATTTTTTTTTTCAGTTTTTTTTTTCTCCCAAAAATCGAAATAATTTCACAATGTCAAGAACTAAAAGTAGTGTTCAACATTGTAAAATGTTGACTTCATGACACAGCAAACTCGTGACTGAAAATTCGCCAATTCACCATAATCATTGTTGTGAACTGTTTCGCTGATTTTTCAAAAGATCATATGGATACTCAGTATTTAATTCATATTCACCCCAACTATAGACCTTAATAGATATTCTAAGGTCTATGCCCCAACTAGTATTCAAATATTTTTTCGGAAATTTGAGACATTGTTCAAAAAATCCTGGTCAAGGATATGTCTGATAACAACTAATAATACGCAATTCTCCATGCAGTACTAGAAATTGTTGCTGATACTAATCACGTTTTTATCAGAAAGTTACTCGCACATGTAGTAGACGAACATAGTACTGTCGCATGTCCTTCGTCTTAGCCACATAACCGCCGCAGTTCGCTTCATGTATGTAACATCGAATATTTAGTTTGATGATTGATAAACATATATTCACCGTTGCTTTCATGTTACGTTAATACAAACATGATTTAAACTTGTCCCTTTCGGTGTTTTTTTCTTAGCCGAAATATACAGAAATAGCACATACGTGTGCGTTTCCGTGAGTAAAAGAGGCAGGTGAGACTCCTTGCCGCAATGTGTTCTATTCATTTCCAGTGCGCGTGGTCGGTGTCTTTGATTGCGTTTATTTTGTTGTTTTTATTCTCGAAATGTATCACTGGCTGTGTTTATTTTGTCGTGTCTCACAACTGAACGTCCAAGCTCACTTTGTTTATGCTGTATAATCACCGCATGGACGTACGTCCAGTTGAGCGTCTGCTCAAAGATCACCTGATCTCATGTCAAAACACATGCGCATTTAGGAACCGGAATCGCATTTTTATGCTCATTGCAAAATGGCGGGTTGTCAGTATCTGCGGTCAATCACGCCCAGCCGGGTCACGTGATCTGACGCACAGTTCAGCGAAAGTGAGTATACTGCCCTCACACAGTACACTTAAAATGGCCCAGTGAGTATACTGCCCTCACACAGTACACTTAAAATGGCCCAGTGAGTATACTGCCCTCACAGGTTAAACAACCATGCAAATTCTTTTTATTACTCTCTGATGTTGTATAAAATACTGTTATTTTTTTACAGTAATATTTGGGGAAGATGTTGCATTTGGTGGAGTGTTTCGTTGCACTGTCGGTCTTGCTGAAAAATACGGTAAACTTTTCACAATATACAAGTCAATATACAAGATTTATGTATGAAAATTGCTGAAAATTGTTCTTTCTGACAAGAAAATTATCAATTTGCAGAGAAAAAATTCTTAGATGTAGTATTGTTTCTGTCCGTCTTTTCAAACTTCAAATTTGGTTTCTTGTGCTGCAAGTTTTGTTGGAACGCTGTCTGACTCGAATCAAATCAAGTCCAATGTCATAGGACAGTATGGATCTACTGTGGGTAACTTTATTAACCTGTTGAGTGCCATCATTTTTGCCTCCTAAGTTTGGGTGCAACACTTTGCCTATTTTATCTTTTATTTTGCCTATTTCATCTTTTATTTTGCCTATTTCATCTTTAATTTTTTGGCCACAGATCTTGATAAAACATTTTAGAAAAAATTATAAAAACAATTGTGTTAATTTATGAATGGTGAAACATAAGTTGACTTTGTCACGTACAGGGTTAAAGGTCAAAAAGTTGACAGCGATTAATTTGTTATACTTTTATCGCTTTCCACTTTTGGTTCTCGAATACAAGTTATCAAAATTTTGACAACTCTCCCCAAACTAATTTGACACTAAACTTCCACAGTTTTGACATATTAGTATATATTCATATGACAAAAATAATACATCTGATCAAGAAAGAACAATAACCGTTATAATCCTTCAATGGAACTTCAAGTGGCTCATTGGTATTTAAATAATTACTGGGTTTAGCATTCACTTGTTTCCTAATTCACCATGCAAACCAAGCTATTTATCTGTGGATTGCAATTTCTTCTTGACTTATCAAAAATTGCTGGACAGGGGTGTTTTGAACCTGTATATTATCTTAAAGACAAGTTTGTTTTTGTAGTTAATTTTATTTTAACAAATTTCACTGATTCTTCTCAATTTTTCAATTATATGTGTGTCATAGGGAAGGAAAGAGTGTTTAATACTCCATTATGTGAGCAAGGTATTGTTGGTTTTGGTATTGGTGCTGCTTCAGCTGGTGCTACAGCTGTGGCTGAAATACAGTTTGCTGATTATATCTTTCCAGCGTTTGACCAGGTAATTGACTAATCTGTAGTATTCCAGTAATGCAACCATTTTCACTTGCTAAACTTTTATATTAATTACAGTAAAATAGTGGCATTATAATTTGGAGTGTGTTTATTCAATATGTTCATGCACTGAAGCATACTAAGCTATGTGCTTACTAAATTAAAATTGCATACTTAATGAGCTATGTGTGCATACTTAATGAGAATTGTGCATACTTAATGAGCAATGTGTGCATACTAAATGCGAATTGTGCATACTTAATGAGCAATGTGTACATACTAAATGCGAATTATGCATACTTAATGAGCTATGTGCACATACTTGATGAGAATTGTGCATACTAAATAAGCAATATATGCATACTGAATGAGAATTGTACATACTTAATGAGCAATGTGTGCATACTTAATGAGAAATGTGTGCATACTTAATGAGAATTGTGCACACTAAAATGAGCAATGTGTGCATACTAAATGAGCAATGTGTGCATACTAAATGAGCAATGTGTGCACACTAAATGAGCAATGTGTGCATACTAAATAAGCAATGTATCCATACTAAATAAGCAATGTGTCCATACTAAATAAGCAATGTGTCCATACTAAATGAGAATTATGCATACTCAATGAGCAATGTGTGCATACTTAATGAGCAAGGTGTCCATACTAAATGAGAATTATGCATACTCAATGAGCAATGTGTGCATACTAAATAAGCAATGTGTGCATACTAAATGAGAATTATGCATACTAAATGAGCAATGTGTGCATAATGAGCAATGTGTGCATACTTAATGAACAATGTGTCCATACTAAATGAGAATTATGTATACTTAATGAGCAATGTGCACATACTAAATGAGAATTATGCATACTTAATGAGCAATGTGTGCATACTGGATGAGCAATGTATGCATACTAAATGAGAATTGTGCACACTAAAATGATCAATGTGTGCATACTAAATGAGCAATGTGTGCATACTAAATGAGCAATGTCCACATACTAAATGAGAATTATGCATACTTAATGTGCAATGCGCGCATACACAATGAGCAATGTATGCATACTAAATGAGAATTGTACACACTAAAATGAGCAATGTGTGCACACTAAAATGAGCAATGTGTGCATACTAAATGAGCAATGTGTGCATACTAAATGAGCAATGTGTGCATATTAAATAAGAATTGTGTGTATTTAAAATAAGCTATGTGTGCATATGATACTAAATGATAATTATGCACACCAAAAAAAGATTTGTATGTAATAATTAAACTGTATTCATATTAAATGAGTTATATGTGCATACAGAATGTATTGTGTGCATACATAATGAGCTATATGCATATTAAATAGGCTATTTGTATAAACATCATGAGTTATGTGTGCATACTATGCCTAAAATGAAATGATATTTTAGATTAGCTGTGTACATACAGAATAGTTATGTGTGTTTTCTAAATGAGAAATGTTAATACAGAACCCAATAAATGAGACTAAAATCAATGTATTTTAATTTTGTTCAAGATTATCAATGAAGCTGCTAAATTCCGATACCGTTCTGGTAATATCTTTGACTGTGGTAAGCTAACTATAAGAGCTCCTTGGGGTGCAGTAGGACACGGTGCATTATATCACTCACAGAGTCCAGAAGCATTCTTTGCTCACATTCCAGGCATTAAGGTATGTGGCTCCATTTGAGTGACTCTTTCTTTAATCTTAATCAATGATGACTACAATATTTTCAGTTAAATCTTCAAAATATTGAAACCTCCCTAGTTTTACAACCTTTGAAGTGACACAAGTTGTTTTCAAAAATTTATAATGGGGCAAATAAAATTGTTAATTATTTTGTAATGCGACTTTTCTTGCGTTTCTGGGGGTTTCTCATACGATATCATTGCAGTATCTAATGTGGTTTGAATCCACAAGTTTTTTTCCACACTTTGTATGAAAGTATTTTACTTTTAAACCCATTTGTAATTTTAAATTTAATTGTAAATTTTAAGGTTTTTGGCTGAAGAGGTGCATCACAATCCAGTTATCAGGTGCACCAGTATCATCACCTAAAATAATAATCTGCCAGTCATAATTGTAGTCATCCCATTTCTCCTCTGATTGTCACTGTGATTGTATTGGTTAAATCAATGCTCGAAGTAACAATTTTAGAGATCGTACATTCTAATGTTGTTTGAAAAAAATGGCAGACACACATTTCCGGCTGCAGATTCACAATAATACGCAAAACTGAAAAAAAACAGAATTTTACTGCATTATCTAGAGAGAAGTTGAAAGAATTGTGCAGTCCATTAATCAAAATAAACTGTTACCCAAGCTTAATCTGGAATGCAGCCGAAGCATACATGGTAACAACAGATTAGGCCTTGTAGCCAATCTGTCTTTTTATTGTTATCTGAGTACTCATCAAAGTCATTTATCGTCTGTGCCCCAAGTGGTCACCACTCGGATCTACCAATAATATTGATTTTTAAAGATTGGATTCTCAGAACAATCAGTATACATTTCCCTTGAGTGTGTATAGCACTTTGTGCATGGGAATTACAGCTGGGAATACTGGCAAAATTTTATTGCAGTGTCGTGAATTCAGACATTTTGACAAGGTTCAGCAAATTGCCTGCCATGTGACATTAATGTAAAGCAAATGATTCCTTTGTTTGTCTGAATGTATTTCTTAGGTCCAGGCTATTGAATACTGAATATAGGTATTGAATTCATATTCAATCTGAACTACAAATTGAGCATATTTTAGATCTTGAACTTGGACAAAATTATCACAATGTATAATATGAACAATTTAAAAACATTCTTGAGTGGCAGTACAATTTGTGAAAAAGTCATCATCATATAGTATTTGGCCATAGAGGGAGCAACACAAAAGTTTGGGTAAATCACATTTTTAACTTTGAGGGCAGTGTTCATGTTTGTCAGTTGTGTCCTCCAGCCTGTATGTATATAGATGTTATTATCTTTAGTTTTCATGTACTTAATAGCAAAGTTAAATTTCAAGTGAAAATACAGCAATTTACAGTACATGGAAATGCTATTCTCTGTTCTGTTACTGTTCATTTCTAAAGCATTTCCGTTCTGCTCCTTTCCCTTCTCATCATCGTCTTCTTTTTTATTCTACTTTCTCTGCTCTCTCTCTATCTATCCATCATTTACTTTCCTTTTCTCCATTCTCCTCATTCTTCTTTTTTCCATCATTTCTATCTTCATTCTCTTTGTCACTCTCCTCCCTGTTCTCTTCTTCATCATTTAGTCTCTACTTTTCTCATTCACTTTCCTCTTTCTTTGTCCCCATCCACTTATCCTCTATGTTAGTTTCCCCCTCCATCACTCTCATTCGTTCTCCTTTTTCTACTTTTCTTTCTTCCCTTTTAGGTAATTTACTCCTCCTGTCTCTCATTTTCTTTTAATTCCATTATTCATTCCTCCTCTTGGTGTCCTAATTATGCATACACGTACGCATCAGTGCACATGCTGTTATTCCTCTCTTTATGAATATGTAGTCGCATCGGTGTCTGTCTCGATCGTTCTCACCTATGAAAGCGATGAATAATATATCCTAGTCAATATATACACATGGTATTACCACAGGCAACAGATGGTTGATGTTCATCTTCATTGGAAATAGTTTAATCACTTAGCAAATTTGATTAATAAATGATCAGTATTACAATTAGTGAAAAAAGGGATTGAATAATTAACAGTGTTTTGAAGGTGGAAATGTTGATGGTGTTTTTGAAGGTGGAAATGTTGATGGTGTTTTTGAAGATGGAAATGTTGATGTTGTTTTTAAAGGTGGAAATGTTGATGCTGTTTTGAAGGTGGAAATGTTGATGCTGTTTTTGAGGATGGAAATGTTGATGTTGTTTTTAAAGGTGGAAATGTTGATGCTGTTTTGAAGGTGGAAATGTTGATGGTGTTTTTGAAGATGGAAATGTTGATGGTGTTTTTAAAGATGGAAATGTTGATGTTGTTTTTAAAGGTGGAAATGTTGATGCTGTTTTGAAGGTGGAAATGTTGATGGTGTTTTTGAAGATGGAAATGTTGATGGTGTTTTTGAAGGTGGAAATGTTGATGAAGCTATCACTAGGCTACAAATATTTAATTTTAAAATTAATGAATTTCACTCCATGGCAATGTCATGGTTACTAATACTATCAGTGTTTAAATAAGGTTGAGTTATTGTACACTTGTACTATTATCAACTTTTGAACCTTGATTGACTTGTTAAAAACAACGATGTACAAGTAACAACAATAAGTCTGGTTGTGGTACTGGTTAGGATGTTTTGCCTACATCAGGGAGGTTGTGGTTTCAATTTCCTGAAACTAACTGTACATTTAGGGACGACGTCAAAAGATCGATGTCGAATAAAAAACTTGCTTTAGTTTGGGGGTGGGGGGTTTTGACCTCAAAAAGTTTCCATCCTACAAAAACAATTTTATTTTTTAATGAAGTCAAAAAAATCTTTCAGTATTTGTAGTTCGTTTTTTTTCTATCCAATCATGGACAAAAATAACAGAAAATGAAAAAAAATCATCACATCCAAGACGAGAAAATGGTTTGGTCCGAGTGTAAATATGTGCGTCAAATGAAGCTTGTTTTTCTTTGTTATTGGTGCATTTGTAAAGTACTTTTACACCCTACTGACAACCAACTGCTATGTCATACTACAGTCCGATTATCAATTTGTATTTAATGGTAAATGTAGTCTGATGACATGATCAATATTTATCAATTAAGTTTCAGTGGGGGGTTTTGGGAAAAAACTAAAGGAATTAAGTTTTTTATCCTACATTGAACTTTTGATGTTGTCCCTTAGCAGTATGAATTTGAATAGATTCTGTCCAAACCACCAAACACAAGGTATTGGCTTTGGGGATGATGGTGTTTTATCCGATGACGATGAAATCATAACAGTGTCATTTCCCGATGCCATTCCTGTACCAATTTGATCAGACATCCTTTTCCCAGACAGTAGCGGTTTTCTGCAAGATGTTTGTTTTCTCTTTTTCTCATATCAGCTCTTTTATGATCTGGGGTTTTCAGATCTGTACTTGGCATATTTTACCTGTTGATCCCTTGTGGATTAAAAGCTTGAGGGAACACAGATGGTCTGAAAATTCCATTATGATCTTTTGTAAAAATGTGTTTGCGGTTGAAATCCTTTATTAATTCTATTCACAACAGTATGTTTTTCTGATTAACATTTGATATCTAATTAGTTTCCGTCAGACTTAGTCTGAATTCCATAGATGAGTTAAAACATAATTTCTCAGAAATGCCTGGAATGATTTTAGTACCACAGGCAAGTCATAATTGAAGACAAATGCATGTCAATTAGTTTTCATCATTTTTGTCTACAATTAAATAAGAAATGAGAATAAAAATGTAATATAAATGTTGAGGGTGTCAAAAATATGAACTTATATAAATATGATGATGATCAGGAAAATTTCATATCCAAAGAATTTAATTTCAAAATATTTAAAAACGGATATTAATACAATGCGTTATGTGCTTTTTGAATGCCGACTAAAAACCGATCAACGTAGTCAAGGGAGAAAAACAGTATGTGTGGTATGTGGTTCATCAATCCATCTGCCACTATTTTAGTTTGAAGTACCGTAGTTAGCTTGCATTTAATTGATTTGAGCGCCATCAGTTTAAGCGTCACTAATTTTTGAAAAAACATTTTGCAAATTGTAATGTAATTTTCTATTATTTTTTATTAATTTTCGACCAAACGAACTTTATTTCACATTGGCTACAGGTCTTAATAACAGTTTTTGAAAAAAAAGGTAAAAAAAAATTGCAGGTTTAGTTGGTGAATTATGCCAAAAGTTGACTTTAGCGTTCAATGGTTTAAAATGTACCAGGTAAAATTACTAAACGTGGAAATTATTTCTCTATTTTCACAGACGGGCTGTTATTGGTTTTTATCTCTATAGTTGCGTTTTTAATAGAGCAAATACTGTTATAAAGTATTATTTTATAAATTAAGACTCAGTGTTTGATTTTAATATTATTGTGACAGGTTTTCTGCCCATCATTGGAATCAGCCTGTGCTGGGGTAATATTGTGTTGACATTCCAGTTGTACAGGTGTTCTCAGGTCTATCATTTCCCAACATTGTTCATATAGGTAGGTAGGACTGGTCCCTTTTCTGATTGTCTCATCTCATCTCTAGCGTCAGTGGAATACATATAAAAGATATGTACTGACAGGAGTTCTGAGTAGTGCGCCCTCTAACAGTACTTATTGTGTATGGATCTTGAGTCATCTTGGTGAATACTGAGGAGGGAGATTTTCAAGAAAAAAATAAAGATATGGTTGTCACAAGCTTTTACCTTTTCACCACCAGACTTTCTCTTAATTTTTCTGCACATTTTGACTCCCGTGTGCGAAGCACAAAAGGGAGTCTTTGCAGTTACCCTGTCTGTATGTCTGTATGTATGTCTGTATGTATGTATGTATGTATGTCACTTTTTTTGTTCCACCGTTATCTCAAGAACCACTAATCAAATTTTGGTGAAACTTGGTACATAGATGCTCTGGGATAATGCGCAGAGCTGATTAGGTTTGGGTAAAAATCTATGAATATTAATTACCTAATTTGCATGATAATTAGCTGATTTTTAGCTGTTCCAAGTCTG